TTTATCTACTTTTGGGTAATTTGCTCGCGGAGCTGTAGCCTTTGGATGCTTGAATGATCTCACGTGCAATCTTCTTCTCTTCCTTGAGTTGTTGCAGTTTCTCTCTCTGACGAGCATTCTGGAGTGCGTCGTGGCGCTTCATTTGCACGCGACGACGCAGCTCTTCCTCCTCGCGCTGCTTCCTTCTCTCGACCTCCTCAGCCAGTTTGAACTCCTGGTCGATTATAAACAACTTGGACTTCTGCTTGTCCAGATCCACAATTCTACCACGCTGATCAATCAGTCCAAGCTCATTCAAGTGGCTCTGCAGTGGGCGACTCTCAAAGTGGTGGCGTAAGTTCCGGTCCAACAGCGCGTTGTACTGCGGCAGGCGATCCTGGTGCACGCCAGACAAGTTGAAGCCGTTCTCGCGCTGACGGAGATACTCCTCGCTCCTCTTCTTCGACATCGTCATCCTTCTTGTGCGCTTCAGGTTTCGCTGCTGAATGATGCGTTCACGTCGCTCAGCCTTCTGCGTGATAAGACCTAACACGTGTCCGAAAATACCCATTTAACGTTCACTTCACTGTTGGAATAGCTGCAACCGACACTGCCATCCAATACGAGGCGTTCAGACGTTCCCACGGCTTCCAGCTATTAATTAGACGCTCGTTTGTAGACTGATGGACCTCGAAACGTACAGAGAAGTCAGCTTTTAGTTTGTTCAGTATCTCGGTGATACTCTGCACAAAGGCGATGTTGTTGGCCGCCGTAGCTCCATAAACTTGATGATCCGATGGCTCCGCTTCTTGAAGCAAGGTCTGCATTGCTAGCATTAGTTCCCGAGTAAGATACAGCGTCCGGAATGTCGTGTCATCTGTTCCAATATTCACACACGCGAACGCTACCACGTCGCCAGGGAACATGAATCGATTCGGTCCAACCAGCGGCATAATCTTGACAACTTTCGCGTCCCAGCACAAATGATTCGGAATTTCGGACGCTTTGCCATCTCCGTCGATTGTGGCATGTTCACCTTCTTCATGAGCCTGTAGGTCTTGAGTGAGTCGCTCTTGTTCCACCACCTCAACGTGCTCGTTACATTCCTGGGAGGGGACAAAGTCCATCCGTAGGATATCCCGCTCCACATACTTCTTGAGCTGAGTAAAATCTTTAGCGAAACCCGTACATTTAGATGAGATTTGCGATGAGTTGCGTGTCGTACAGCCTGCTTCGCGTTGAAGTAGCTGAAAGTGATCCCAGAATGGGGATCTTTTCGACGGATAAGACACGATCTGCGTACTTTCCACCAAGACGCAGTCTAGAACACGAAGTTGCTCATCGTAGTGTGACACCTCCAATCCACTCAAGCACAGCACAGCACCTACTTTCCAGATATTCTTGCTGCCGCGACGGAAGACAAACGAGGACGATGCCGAGCGCTTCAAGGGGCTATTGCTTTTCTTCTTCGACATACTGACTTCCATCCCAGACACACGAATACTCATCAAGTGACAACTTTGGTCGGTCACAAAGACGTGCTCGACATACCGAGTTTCTTGTGGCTTAATCTCGGGGTCAAGCAGCGAAACGTCTGCTTGTTTCTTTGTCGCGCTGGATACCTCCTGATTTTCTCGAGTCGCAACTAGCACGACACAGACACAAACGTCGATTGTTGGTCTTCTTTCGTTCCTGCGGCCATTAATTCCATCTTCAAAATTGGCTCGATAGTTTGTTGTCGCTTGCTGGACGTCAACGCACACTCGTTGCTGTTTAATTTGGCTATTTGCTGAGGAATCTTCGTGAATATCTTCAAAACCACTATGCTTTGTCGAACTCAATCGCAAGGACGCATCTTGGCCACGTCCGCCGTCGAGTTTCCAATTGACAGTCAAGCTGCTGGCGTAATACTCGACTCCTTCTCTTAATCCACCAGAAAGCAAGTCCTCGTTAGGCCGCCAGATTGTTAAAATACCACAGCCTATCCCCTGATCTTTAGAAGGATTATGTGTGCATTCCACGTCCACTTTAATAAATGGAATCGGTAACGGCACATCGATCTGATCATCTCCAGACCATTCGTCTCTGTCCTCGTGTTGATGCTTTTTCCGCATGACGGCTTGTGCATACTCGGATCGGAGTTGAAAGTACAGCGGGAGCTGTTCTTCGCACAGAATTCGCGGTCCTAACGTCCATTCTTTTGCCTGAAGATGGAGTACTGGGGATATGCGAGTCACTCGAATTCGTACCGATCGCACCATCCCGCCACCGACCTCTAAACTCTTCAAAGGGACGCTCTTTAACAATGTAAACGAGAGTTGTGGCTGTCGTTTTCGGTGTCGTGAGTTGACGGGAGTAACGTAGTGTAGTTTCTCCACTCCTAAGCGCGTGTCAAATCTCACACGACGCGTGCTGTTGTAGCGTAATTGCAGATATGGCCATTGCGTTAGATCCTCATTAGCCAGCAAGGGGTTTCTCCACTTCGATTCACAAACAATAGCGCAGTCAAGTGGATCAATTCCCTCCGTTGAATTCTGCAGCAATGCATTCCACGTCGCGAGTTTTGAGCCAACGAGACTTGATTTCGCATGAAGTTTCCACAATACAGAGGCTAGAGGAGCATCAGGCACAGCGTACACGGAATACCAACCGTCTGTAAGAACCAGAGCCATGTTCCAACAAGCCGGGAGCTGCTGATCCACAGCGTTGTTGATATCAACAGAAAAGGGCAGTACGGCAGCAACGCACAGAACCATACAGCTTAACGAACTTGCGTCTCGTTGGAGAATTTTCTTCACAATGGAGCGTTGCGCATCATTCAAGTCTCGTTGATACCGGTGAGTCATCTGTTTCAGAACTTGATCCTTCGTCAGATAATTCGCCAACAAAAGACGAGGGAAGGATCTCTCCATTGCAGCCAATTTCCACACAATCCACCGATAATGATTCGAAAACCACACAAATGTCGCCCCAGTCTTCTTCAGAATATGATTCCCCGCTTTGAGTTGGCGGTAGAGTTCACGAGGCCCAATGAAGAGTGCAGTGTCATAGGACTCGTCTGAGGAGAGGATCAAGGTGCCATCTTGTCCGAAACAAACCTTGAGGGCATTTTCTGCTGTGATAGAGTTTAGCACTTGAAGACGAGGCACCTCGTTGTCTCCCTCATTGACGTCGAGACTAATTAGCGTTGTCAGCGAGATTTTCATAGATTCCTGGTAAATGAAAGGTTGAGCTTCAGTGTCGATCACTTTCTGTTTCTTGCTTCTTGGTGCTGTAAAATGGTCCATATGTTGAAGGCTTTTGCGGTCGTTGAAGCTTATTCTTTTGCTGGCAGCAGGCGGGTGGAATCGCTTTTTCCCGGTCATTTTGGAGCGCACAATCGCTGGTTTTAGAGCTTTGTTGATCTTCTTTTGCTGCAGAGCAACGTGATTGAGAGATAGTCTTGAGTTGAGATACATCGAGCTCGTTGAGGACCGCAATATTTTTGATGCTTCTAGTGCAGCAGTCTTCCGGATCAGAACATTTTCAGGATGGACGTTTTCCTTATCACCACAGTCAAGTCTTTGGTGGTGGATATCAGTGAGCGGATACGCTGAATCTGATAAACGGCGTGGTGGCAAGGATGACCCTCGGTTACGACTTGAATGAGCAAGGTCGTTGGACGTAGTAGTACTTTGGTGTGCTAT